AGGACTCTCTCCGGCTTGGCCGGATCGAGTATCAAGTCTTCGGTCTCCTCGGCAGGCTCAGCTCTCGGCCTGCCTTCTTCTTCCTCCAAGGCCCTGGTGGCGATGGTGTCCACACGTAGTTCTGTTTTACTAACCTTCTTGGTAAGTTGAAGGTAGCAGGCCCTGGAGAGTTTTTGATTCCCCCTCGAGTAGCCGATGCCGTCATGCGTGGGGAACTTGAGGCAGAGGTGCCTCATGGAGATGACAGCCTCCAAGTCCTCGAGGGCAGGCCGGCCGAGGATGATGTTGTGTGCGCAGTCGAGGTTGACGATGACGAACTCCACTTCGAGCTTGGCTCTATGGGATCCGTCGCCGAATTCAACCATGAGGGTGATGACGCCCTCGGCGTCTATGCTGTCCCCCGTAAATCCGGAGAGGGGGGTGTTGATGTGTCGAAGGGACCCCCTGTCGAGTCCCAGCTCTTGGAAAGTGCTGAGATACATGACGTTGACAGAACTCCCCGTGTCGACGTAAGTCCGGTGGATGATGGCGTCGTTGATCTCAGTGCGGATGACGAGGGCATCCCTATGCGGCAGAGAACCCGAGGGGAGGTCCGCATCTGTGAAGAAGATGGGATCCGCCCTCGGCCTCTTAGTCGGGGGCATGTGATTGACTTCCCCAATGTAAAGGGACTGCGCCCATTTCTTCCTTTGACTTGTAGAATCACCTCCGGTGTTCCCGCCGTTGATCATGTGAATGTGGCGCTTGTACTGTTGAAGGGAGCCCTCTCCCTCGTCTTCGAGGCCCCCAATTTCTCGCTTCTTCCCCTGTGGGCTTCCCAAGGGGATGGTGTTGGGGTTCACCCATTTGTTGACCTTCGGCGGAGGTCCTTGATGGTGAAGGGGGCCCTGGGGAAGAGGGCCCCTGATAAATTGAGACAAGTGGCCCGCCTGTATCAGCCTCTCGATGGCGTTCTTCAGCTGATGGCAATCGTCGGTTTTGTGTCCATGGTGGCGGTGGAAGCGGCAATATGGCTCATCAGGGCCGATGGCATAAATCTCGAGGGGTGTGCGGGAGTCTCGCTCAACGAGCCCCCGCTCTTCCGCATGATCAAGAATGACGCTGACGGGGTGCGTCAGGGGAGTGCGTGGGTGCTCCAGGAGGACGGGTTGCGCCCAAGCCCTCGGATTGTTCTTATAACCGCCCCCGGGTCTGGCTTGGCCACCCCGGGAGCGATCGTTGTACTGTGCCTCTCGGTGGACCGGAGGGGGAGGCCCTCCGGGCCGGTTCCTGCCTTCATTCTTCTGAGAAGGGTCCGTGTTGCGGCGGTCCTTCTCGATTTCCTCTGCCTCAGCGTATCGATCCCCTCGCTGAAGGGCCTTCGTATAATCGCGGGGGGGATCAGTAATGAGGCTCCGGGAGAAGTTACCGTTGCGGAGGACGGTGTGGAAGAGGGCCATCAGCGTCCTGTCATCGGCGCCTTCGACCTCGAGGGAAGCCTGCCTCCAGCGTTCCAGGAAACTCCGAAGGGTTTCCTCCTTCTGTTGTCTCACGTTTAGGAGGTGGGAGAAGTGCTTCTTTGAGCGGTGCCTCCCGGCAAACTGTGTGAGGAAGCGGTGGGCAAGTTCTTGCCACGAATCAATGCTGCCTTCGGGCAATCGGTTGAACCACTCATACGCGGGTCCCTCCAAGGTGGAAAGGAACCAACGGCATAAGTATTCATCCGATGCCCCCACCATCATCATGCTGTTTTGATAGCGGCTATAGTGCTCCTGGGGATCCGTCTTCCCCTCATACGGCTTGATGGGCTGCCCCCGATATTTGTGGGGGATTTTGGCCGCCAACACCCTTGGGGTGAAAGGCGTCCTAGTGCGGAGCTGAATGAGGGGCTCGCCTGAGCCTTCGGCAAGTTTACGTTTCATTTCCTCCACCTGTGCCCGGAGGTCAGCGTACTCCGGATCTGGCCTCGCTGTGGAAGCCGTCGGGGGTGCCTGTCGATTCTCCTCGAGTTGACGGAGGAGGGCTTCAATGATTTCGTCCTTGGGATCCTTCGGGGCAACCCCTTGGGAGTTGGCCCGGAAGGATTGCGCCTGGTTGATCTGGTGCCTGGCGTCATCGGCATGGAGGAGGGCTTTGCCTTTGCTCCGTGGGGGAGGAACGCCCTCGGCGCCCAAAGCGGAGGCTCCACTTTCCTGGGGCCTACTGAGCGCCTGTTTCCCGAGGCGGTCTTGGACCCCTCGGTGCCCGGGAGCTCCCCCTAGTCTCTCAAGTGCAGAGGTTCGGGGCTTCTCCCTCATCATGGGGCGCTTGTCCCTGGACTGGGCCTCTTGGGAGGCGGTATCCTGCGCCATTACCCCCTCGGCATTGCCAATCCCCGGGGGAGGATTGTTGAACAAAGGAGGGAGTGGTGGTAGGTTGATAACATTCCCTCCAGCATAGGGCTGAAGGGGTGTCTGAGAGGCGAGGGCTCCGGAATTGAGAGCCATGTTTTGAACAAAGGCCGCAAAGGCAGCCTGAAGATCGATGGCCGGGGCCGGAGGGGGAACTTGGTTCTCACTCCGATCCCTCCTTCGATTATCAAGGCCAATGCGGGCATCAGGGGCGTTCTTCTGTAGTTGCTGACGGAGGTCAGCAGTAGCCTGCTCCAACTCAAGGATGATACCACCCTCGGGTACCAAGAGCCTGTTGGAGGCCTCAGCCCCGTTGGTTTCGCCGGGGGCTATGTGGTTCTCCTCAAGGGTTTTGGACTGGGCACGGGTGGTTCTTCCCATTTTTGGTGAGCGTTTTGTATTTGGTAGAGGGGGAGGGTTTCTTACTTGATAGTTCAGACCTCTCGACGAGAGCACCAAATGATGGACAGTCTACCCGGGGGGTATCTTATCCGAGGGGTTATTGCGGGAATAACTAGAGAGAAGTCAGAGCAAAATAGGAGGAGAGAGAGTCGATTTATTAAATGAACTCAGCGTGGAGTTGAGATGTAGATCGTGTCTTACAAGGAGGAACGGGCTGCTATTTATAGCAGCAATAAATGCGATGAGGGGACACGTGTCAGTAATCCAACGGCCGAAGGGTCACATCAGCCGGTTGGCACCGGCAGTGGTACGTTCACCGCATTGAATGCGGTTGGCGGATGCGACGTGGCATTAAATGCGGTTGTTGGCTGTCTCCAAAAGGAATCTTCGATGATTGAGCTAGTCCAGCCGAAGGTTCCTCGTGTAGCCGAGGGCTCCTTGTATGGCCGAAGGCTCCTCGTGTAGCCGAAGGCTTGGTTCAGCCGAGGGCTTCCCCTGGTGCCGAGGGCTCAATAGTGCCGAAGGCTAATGTTCTCGCCCGTTTTCTCCCAGTAGCTTCTTACGCCAGAGAAGGCTATTCTGAGAGTTTTGGAGCCTTCGGCCAAGGAGGCCGAAGGCACCCCAGTGTGTATTCTGGGCTACTTTGAGGCTTGGGCCGTTGTATTTGGGCCTGAGATGTCCTCTGGGCTCAATGGACTTGTGTAGGAGAAGTGGGAGTCTATGGGCCGGGGGTTCTTGGGCCATATACTCCATCAGATATCTTTATCAAATGTGATGTGCAAGGTGAGAAACATGAATATAAATTATAAATTGGTGATGATCTCCCAATGAAGTCTCAATTACGACTATTGCAATGGTGAAGGTGATTGACACAATAGAGTTAGAGGATGCTATGTACACCAAAGGGAAAATATTCATACTTGGCTTTTTTATATACCTTAATTGAGTTTTTTTTTTTAATTTTACACATTAAACAATCAAGAGTACTGTTTTATGTCAAATAGTATATATTAAAGTCAACAGTGGATTAGTGATATGCAAAGGCTAATGAATGATATTCAAAATTTAAAATGAAACGTTTATTTTAAAATACTCGAGGATACATAGTTAATAAACAAGATGCATAAAAAGAACATATTGTACTTTTGGTCCAACATTTATCAAGTGATCTATACTTTTCATCCTTAAAAATTTTTCCTTTCCCCTTTTGCTATGTGATATTTTTGGACAATTTTGATAAAGAAAAACTGATTAATAGAATGGACAAATTATTTTCATATTAAGAGTTGGAATTGAAAAGTGAAACATTTCCATAAAATATAATGTCACTTAAAGATCACATTTCACTCGTTTGAATATTAAAATTGGTTCCATAAATGCTCTCGAATTTTTATGACGAGTTGATTTTTTCAACACACTTTTCATCTAAATGAACCACATACTATGAGTCTATGTGGTGACCTTGTTTTTCAGTTTATTAAGCTTATCACCTAAATTTTAGGTCAAACACGTGACTTTTGATTTCATGCGATAAATTGTGTAATAATAATAAAAAAGTAAGTTTGAACTTTTTTTCTGGTTTCATTGGCTGAAGTTATCATAGATGTTCATTTTAGTTTTTTTTCATATAGTTTTTTCTTTATTTTATGAATAAAAAATTTTAAATATATTTTTTCATAAATCTGCAAAATTAGTCAATCAAGTTACTTAAGCTATAACTTCATAGATTATACCACAATCAACCGATTCAGTCAATTTGAATGTTGACAAACGGGCTTAGGTTGGTTTGCAACTGCTTTTAAAAAATCATTTCTCAGCTTTAAAAAAACACTTATTTTACCAAACACTATAACTTTTTTTTTCTCTGCTTTCGTGTCAAAAGTATTTTTACTTTTTCTATTACACAAAAAAACACTTATTTTACCAAACACTACCAACTTTTACTTTTCAAAATCACTTTTTTCTCAAACACTATCAACTTTTATTTAATCACTTCTCCTCATTTCATCAAAAAAACATTTTTTTTAAAGCAGAAGCTATTGCAAACAGACCCTTTAATTTCACAACGATGAGATCGGATACAAATCAGGATCATTCTTAATGTAGATATCCTTATGCCCATTTATGTGAAAGCTTTTTTCTACAAAAAAACTTACAAGATGAAAGTCTATTTCAACTTAATTCACGGACAAAAAACCTTTCACAAAGATCATTTTTCTACAAAAATTACTCTTCAAAACTTCAATTGCACACAAAACTCCCCTCCAAACTCCAAAGCAACTCTCAGAAGTCAGAACAATAAACAAATCTAAAATAAGTTGCAAAAGAAATATCTTCTCAAAGAGCTCCCATGAGCCATGGCGTCCTGCATCTCCCCATCTACTACAAATCCTCTTCAAAGCACAACCTACAACTCCCGATTCAAACCACGGGTTCCAATTTCAATCACCTTTATCTGTTCTTCTAATCACAGGGCGCTAAGGATGAATTGCAATGCGGCTGCAAAGCAGCAGACCGGTCCAGTGAAGAAGCGAACGAATTCAAAAACAAAGAAAAAGAGGAACCCGGGTAGCAATAATATTGTGGACGCTGACGATATTTATGAAGATTTTGAGTTCGAATCGAACGATGGAGCACCGCCGCCTCCAGAAGCTTACCACCCGTTGCCGCTGCCTAAACCTCCCGCCGGCTTCGTCCTGGATGAGGAAGGCCGGGTTCTCATGGTCTCTGAAAAGCGTCTTGTTACGATTGTGAGTTTCTAATGTTCTCAGCGGGAATTGTTTTCTTCAACCAGGCAATCCCGCACTTATTTCCCGCCTTTTTTCACTGCGTAAGTCATATTTCATAAAGGTTGTGCTCTGCAAAGAATATCAATGGGGTTATTTAGGCAATAGGTTTAAGGATCATTGTGTAATTGATGAAGATTGTGGGTTGTACATCTTCCATCTCAATGAATTTACTATTCCTAGGATTATTAGTATTCATACTTATAACTATTATCCTAAGCTTTGACAATGGAGACTAAAGTGGGGTACTACCGCACTATGTAGTTCTCTGTGTTCTTGACAAAAAGTATTTTTGCAGCAGACAATTGGAATTTTTGAATAGTGACTATGGGAAAATTTGAATAGTGACTATGAAAAAATAGTGTGGGTATGCAATCTGAACTTGGATTTACGTTTTCTTAAATTTTTTATAACTTTGTATGTTAATAGAAATTTTAGGTATTGTGATTTTCAGTTACTATTGCGTACTGTTCATTACCAGTTGGATGGGTTCCAGGCTGATACCATATAGCTTGTTTGAGTGTTACACATGCCATACACATTATAAAATTTCTTGTATTATATCTAGGACTTATTTACTTGAAAGTCTTGAACTTCCTATTTAAATGTTATTCATTTTCTCAATGCTTGATTGACGTTCATCATTTTATGGACTTGGATGGCAGGTGGATCCAACCAATAATTCACCTTTAGAGTGTGTTATTAGGAGGATATGCAGAACTACACAGGGGGTTGAGTGTATGCTGCTCTGCCCTGTTGATATGTAAGCACTAAGTAGCTTACGTTATTGTACTCAATTTTGCATTCACTGAAAGAACAAACAAGCTTTCTTCCATTATCAATTGCATCTAACAAATGACGTCATACCTGCAGGCCCATTATGATCTTGAAGAGCACAAATGTCGTGGGGTGGTCAGCTGTATGTCTTAACATTAATTAATGCCGTTAAGTGTTTATATTTTATTTATTTTGGTATGGTCATCCTCACAAACATCAGTAAAACATATTTGGGTTTGAAGACCTGTTCGTGGCTTCTCAAAATAGATTTCATGAAAAATGCTTATTTAAGCTCCACACAAAGACATTTTTTCCCCTTTATCTTGCAACAACAACATTACCCCTACCCCCAGTGCCGCAAAGGCTCCCACGTACAGTGAGGTAACCGGGTAAGGGGGTCAGATGTACACAGCCTTACCGATGTGCTAAAGCACAAAGAAACTGTTTTCGAATGACTGATGATGAAAACCGGTCAAAAATTGCATGAATTGACTGTTGCTCCATAACAAAGAAGCGCATATAGTTAAGTAAGCCATTTTGCTTTATTCTATCACATTCCCTTAAAAGAACTTTATATTTTGGCCTGAATCCTACTTTATCTATTAGATATGCCTCTAAATGAATGGAAAAACATTTGCATGCTAATGTTTTCATTTCCAATAATCAAAGCATGGCACAATTTAGATCCAAATTGTATGCACTTCTTGTCATAGGTCAGTGATGATGAAGTTGAAACTATCCTCCCTATGGCAGCCTATGCTCTTGCCAAGATTCACATTCATCTTGTACATAGTGGGTATGCAATATATCTTTTGGAATGATCAGTGCTAATATGCCCTGTTTCTGGCATCTTCACTTATTTCCATTATCTAGGTTTTGCTATACTGCACGTGGAGGATTTTGCTATACAGAGGGTGACATCTTTGATCTTTGCACGGGTATTCTCTTAATCCTTATCTGTATCACAATTTTTGAATTTGGTTATAAACAACTGCTATAGTGGTTTACCTAAATTAAAAGTTCCTAATATTAAAAACCCAATACCTGCATGCTTTCCATTCACTATCAATTACGAATAAAGAAACCCATGAAGTTTATGTTCCCTCCCATATCATTTAAAAAATGTAATCCACATCAGGCATGCATGTATCAAGGAGAAATAATTGTATTATGGTTATTACTCATTAGCACTTGTCACTGATTTGCACCAAGTTGTTTCTACAATCTTCTTAGCCAAGTATTTAACTTATCATGAATATATTTAAATCAGTAAATGAATAAATGCATAGAATGTAATGCTTTTGGAACGTCTGCAGATGAAGGTCAGAGAGATGACGGTGTGCCAACTGAAGGAGTAGAAATCACATGCTTCAATCTTGTAAGTCTGTTTGTCTGATATGTAGCGAAGTTGTTCTGATTTGGTATGTCGGTATTGCATTGTAGGCCATGCATTTTAGTGTTTTTAACTTCCTGAGTTCCAGAAGTAGCAACACATATATGGATAATTTGGTAGAGGATATCAGCCCTCAATGTTCTTAATCGCGTTCGTGATCGGATCTTTGTAAATATTTGTTTCACCATCTTGCTGAAAGTTGCGCCACCCTTTTTGTTGAAATTCACCACATATGTTAGCTAAACCATAGTTTAGAGTTCTTAAAGGTGGATGCTAGGTGAGGTCTACCTGAGTAGCCGCTAAGGCTCTAAGTGGGTATAGGATGCCCGAGCCTAGGAGTCAAACTAGACTGGTCCGGTTGACCCAGGTCTTGTTTATGGGTGATAGTGGATCAAGAGTGACAGCTCTGACGTATTAGGTGTAGACACAGTGCCTTACACTTGCCATTTAAAGTACACTTTGATGTTTGGTGCTGCCTAGTGCCTACTATTTGAGTCATTGACTTTTCTCGTGGCTTCTAGGATACATACATTCATAAGAAGTAAGACACAATATGAGACTATGAGTCATATTTCAAGTGCATACAAATTGCTGTATTTAGCTATTGCTTTGTATTTCTGAACTGTATTTATATATTGATAGGTAACACTATCCAATCACAGAATTATAACAGAAATCAACAATAGAGAAACAAGAAATCTGTTATTGATATCAAAGGAGATAAACCGTATACAAGTTCCCAAAGAAAGAGATAAAACTCTAACTTCCCAGCCAAGACATTTGTCTAGAAACAGCCTGCCTTCCCACTGCAGTGTTTATTCTATTTATAGTATTCACAACGGAATGGTAGTTATTAGTTTTCAACAGAACAACTAATAACTAACTACTAGTCTATTTTCTAGGCCTTCGTACATAAACTTGCCCATAGAATCTGTCATCTCCATTTAGACTAGTGGGGTCCCTAACAATACCCCCCCTGAAACACTCAACTTGCCCTCAAGTTGAAAATTAGGGAATTGTTCTTGGATCGTTTGTAATTCCTCCCATGAGTCCTCAAAGTCAGGAAGCTTCTCCCAATGAATAAGGATCTCCTGCTTCCCTTCTTTATTCATCCGGCTGCCTCTTACTTCTGCAGGCCTCACTTGCAACTCACAATCTTCTGTGAGACAGTCTGGGAGGTTCTGATAAGCCACTGTAGGTTTCAGCACCTTCTTAAGCAAAGAAATATGAAATACCGGATGTACTCTACACCCTTCAGGTAGTTGTAGTTTAAAAGCTACAGGATTTATCTGTTCAACAATCTCATAGGGCCCATAAAACCTTGGACTAAGTTTTTGATTGATTCTCTTAGCTAAACTCCTCATCTTGTAGGGTTGTATTTTCAGAAATACTCTATCCCCAACTGCTAGAGTCACCTCCCTTCTGTGCTTATCAGCTTGTTGTTTCATTAAGTTCTGAGCTTTGGCCAAATTTTCTTTTAATTCTTTCAGAACCTGATTCCTTTCAGCTGTTAATTTTGCCACTTCATCTACTGCAGTCAAAGAGACATCACCTCTGATTAGAGTAGCAGGTTCTTGTCCAAACAAAGCCTTATAGGGTGTACACTTCAAAGAACTGTGATAATTTGTGTTAAACCAGTACTCAGCCCATGGTAACCACTTCACCCACTGTTTAGGAGCATTACCAGTCAAACACCTCAGGTAGGTCTCCAAGCACCTGTTTACAACTTCAGTTTGCCCATCACTTTGGGGGTGATATGCAGTACTATACTTCAGTTTGGTACCAGCCAATTTGAATAATTCAGACCAAAATGAACTCAAGAAAATGCTATCTCTATCACTGACAATTGACTTTGGGAACCCATGAATTCTTACAACCTCCTGCACAAACACTTCAGCCACTCCCTTAGCATTAAAAGGATGAGTTAAGGGTATGAAGTGCGCAAACTTAGTCAGTCTATCCACCACAACTAGGATAGTATCCTTGCCCTGAGATTTAGGTAAGCCCCCCACAAAATCCATACTTATATCAGCCCAAACCTGCTCAGGTATTGGTAGTGGTTGCAGCAGCCCTGCAGGTTTCAAAGCTTGGTATTTATTTCTTTGACATACCTCACATCCTTGGACATAGCTTTGAATATCTTTTTTCATACCTATCCAGTAAAACATGCTGGTTATCCTTTTCATTGTCCTAAAATAGCCAGCATGACCTCCTATAGCAGAATCATGATATTCTTGTAAGATTGCACTCTTCCTGTTAGATTCTCTTGGTAACATCAACCTGTCCTTGTAGTAGATTAACCCCCCTTTCACTTTGTAGTCCCCAAACTTGTCTGGCTGCGCTAACACTTTCTGAATTAACTCCCCACATTTTGGATCTGCCACCAATTCTTCCACTAGCCCTTTCCACTCCTGGCAGTATATGGTAGATAAGGCTGAGTAATTACCTTTTCTAGATAAGGCATCTGCTGCTTTGTTCTCAATTCCCGGCTTGTATTTTATAGTAAAGTTGTATCCCATGAGTTTAGATATCCATCTTTGTTGGTCTTCTCCCATAACTTTCTGCTCGGTTAGATGTTTAAGACTTTTCTGATCTGTATGCACTTCAAACACCCTGCCAAGCAAATAAGGCCTCCACCTCTGTATTGCAAAAACAATTGCCATCAATTCCTTCTCGTAGATGGATTTTGTAAGATGTTTAGGTGAAAGCTGTTTACTCATATACGCAATGGGGCCACCTTCCTGCATAAGTACAGCCCCAAGACCCTTCCCTGATGCGTCAGTCTCTATAACAAATAATTTGTTGAAGTCTGGCATCCTGAGTACTGGAACTGAGACCATAGCACTTTTCAGATCATTAAAAGCTTTTGTAGCCACCTCACTCCACTTAAAACAATCTTTCTTTAACAAACAAGTCAGAGGAGCAGCAATACTGCTGTAATTTTTCACAAACCTCCTGTAGTAGCCAGTAAGACCTAGAAATCCCCTTAGTTCCTTCAGATCTTTAGGTGTGTCCCAATTCTTCATAGCTAGGATTTTCTCAGGGTCAGCTGCCACCCCTGATGCAGATATTATATGACCCAAATATCCTAGCTGTTCTTGCCCAAATGAGCATTTCTTGAGGTTTGCCACTAGCCGATTTCTCCTTAGAGCCTCCAGAACCAATCTTAAATGTTGTTTATGATCATCTCTAGTCTGGCTATACACTAGAATGTCGTCAAAGAAGACAAGAGCAAATCTTCTTAGAAATGGCCTCAATACATCATTCATGAGTGACTGGAATGTTGAAGGAGCGTTAGTCAGCCCAAAGGGCATAACTAAATATTCGTAATGACCCTCATGGGTCCTGAAGGCTGTTTTATGGATATCACTGGTTCTCATCCTTATCTGATGGTAACCTGACTTGAGATCCAATTTAGAAAAAATCCTGGCACCACCCAACTCATCCAGTAATTCCTCAATGACGGGAATAGGGAACTTATCAGGTATAGTAACCTTATTTAGCGCCCTATAGTCTCCACAGAACCTCCATCCTCCATCCTTTTTCTTAGCCAGTAGGATGGGACTACTATAAGGGCTGTTACTATGCCTAATAATCCCAGATTTCAGCATTTCATCAACAATTTTCTCTATTTCATTTTTCTGATCAAAGGAATATCTGTAGGGTCTGAGGTTTGGAATACTAGCACCCTCCTTTATATTTATAGCATGGTCACATTTTCTTTCAGGTGGAAACTTGAGTGTAGATGAAAAAACTTCAGAAAATTCAGCTATTACCTGCTGCCATATTTCTTCCTTCTCCTTCTGTATGTCTTGATTCTGATTCTTTACTTCGCATGCTAGAAGATATCCTCCACCATACTGTTGTATAATGTGGGCCATAGATTTCACAGATACCTCCATCTGATTTGAATTTGTGTCTCCTCTGATTATGTATTTTGCTTCTTGCTGCTTCCATTTAATGATCTGATTTCTGAAGTTCACCTTCATATTTCCTAGCTCAGTCAGCCATTGCATCCCCAGTACTACATCAGTCCCACCTAATTTTAACAGATAATAGGTCTGCAAAATGGTTACCCCTTGAATCAACAACTCCACCGCATTGCATCTTCCCCAGTTAGGTATACAGTCTCCATTCCCAATCTGTACCCTATATCCTTGAATAGGATCATAAGGAATTTTCCATTCCTCCACTAACTCCTGAGATAAGAAGTTGTGAGTTGCCCCACTGTCAATCAGAATGTTCACCCATCTCTCACCTCCAGGCCATTTCATTCTTCCCTTAACCTTGAATGTCTTCATGGAGGGTATTCCTTCTCTACTTAGTATGGAAAGCTGCATGGTTTTGTGGTCCAAGTGAACTGAATTTGTTGTCTTATCCTCTTCAGAACCTGCAGATTCAAAGTCAGAAGCCTCTTCTCCTTCAGAGTGTTCTACCAAGATCATCTTGAAATTCTTCATTTTACATACATGGCCCCTTCCCCAATTATCTCTGCATTTGAAACACAGCCCTTTTTTTACTTCTATCAATCAGCTCTTCTTGAGATAGTCTAGGGCCACTCCTTCTGATAGGAATATCTTTAACCTCCTGATTCATCTTGTTATCATTCACCACCTTAGTAGCATCATTAGTTCTGCCCTGGTAACTTTTCCATTTACTACTTTCATTCCAGTTTTGACTTCTGCTTTGTATCTTCTTCTTCCCTTCATCCTTCATCTTCATCAAACTGATTTCATTGTTCTTATTTTCTATCAAGGTAGCGGTATCCATGACTCTTGCCAAGGTTGGTGTAGAATGCAACTTCAATTCAGCTTTCACATCTCTTTTTAGCCCATTCAAAAACACTCCTCTCAATACCTCATCAGTCAGGTGTCCTTGAGATGCCATAGCTGCTTCAAACATAGCCCTGTACTCCTTCACGGTTCCTTTTTGCTTCATACTAAACAGTGGTCCCAGAGGATTTTCTACCAAGTCTGGCTGAAATCGTTTGGTCATATCCTTGGTAAAGTTCTCCCAGGTCTGATGCCTCGCCTGTCCTTCCCACCACTGAAACCAGCTAAGGGCCTGGTCTTCTAGGGCAACCACCGCCACACCGATCTTATGTTCTTCCTCGGTTCTATTTAATCGGAAATATCTATTCATCCTTACCAGCCAACCGTACACATCTTCTCCGTTAAAAATTGGTAAATCCAATTTCCTCCCAACCGGATAGTGATAGCGATGATTCCTGTCAGGTTCGCGATGATGATGCGATGTAGAATGGACCGATTGATTGTCTGAATCTTCTGAGCTACCGCTGTCCTTCGTGTGTTTATGCCTCGGTGAGCGATGCGATGAAGTCGAATGATGAGAACGACTCCTCGATCGATCAGAATTTCTCTTCTGTAATTCCGCAAATCCCGCTTGCATCGCCGCCATACTGGCTTGCATTTCTCTCATACTCCGTTCCAATCCTTCTTGCAATTCCCGCTGACTCTTCTCCAATTCAGTGACTCGTCCTTCCATCTTCGCACGAGTGATTCTCATCCAACGGATCAACCTGTCTCTGATACCAAATGATAGGTAACACTATCCAATCACAGAATTATAACAGAAATCAACAATAGAGAAACAAGAAATCTGTTATTGATATCAAAGGAGATAAACCGTATACAAGTTCCCAAAGAAAGAGATAAAACTCTAACTTCCCAGCCAAGACATTTGTCTAGAAACAGCCTGCCTTCCCACTGCAGTGTTTATTCTATTTATAGTATTCACAACGGAATGGTAGTTATTAGTTTTCAACAGAACAACTAATAACTAACTACTAGTCTATTTTCTAGGCCTTCGTACATAAACTTGCCCATAGAATCTGTCATCTCCATTTAGACTAGTGGGGTCCCTAACATATATTTCCATAACACATATTTCATCATATAAAATACTATCGTATAAAATAGATATACATTTGAACTTAAAATATTGAAAGTAATATGTAGCGTAAAAAGGTTAGAGAAAATGCTTATATTGATCTTTATTTTATAGGAACCTACTATTTGCTGACCTAGCGCTTGGCCTTTTAGAACACCCTCTTGGATCCCTAGGGCATTAGGTAGGACCATTACTTACATATGTTGGAATGTATATATATATATATATATATATATATATATATTGTGTCTTTCATTTTTATTTCTCCAATTTCATTTTTCACATTACTTTTCAGCTCTATTTTGGTACTTTGGGAGAAATTTAATTGTTTTTGTATGCTATATACTCCCACTTCATTTGTTGGCTTCTATTTGATCAAGATGCTCTCACTAAATGAGAAGTGCTGCACCCATTCCCTGTCGGTATCCAATTTTAGCATTGCAATGTTCATTTTTAGCCTTTTTTCGGTTGGACTTATTTTAGACCAGACCAACAATGTATAGTATTATATTTTATCACTTTCATTCATTGTTCTAAAACTTGCTAAGCGCTAGTTGGGCGGTTGAGGGACGTCTAGCGCCTAGGCGGCCGACTAGGCCGATTTTTTGGCCGACTACACCAATTATTCCTGTACAGTTAGGGCTGGCTAGGCCGATTAATCAGTTCGACTAGGCCGATTCTTATAACAATGCTCTTATTATTACTAGAATAGTACTGATAGAAGTATTATTGTTTAATAATATTACATTCACTACTATCATTCTACGTTTCCCTCAAAAAAAAAAAAAATACTATCATTCTACGTAATAATGATTTATTATTATTACTACTACTACTACTACTTACTAATATTAATATTCTTAGTTTATTACTATTATTATTAATACCACAACTACAACTATTATTGTTATTACTATTAGTCTTTATACTTTTTATTACAAAAAGTAAAGGAATTGTTGTTATTATTATTACTACTATTTTTGTATATATTCTTATCAGTGTTGTAGTGTTGTTGATAATGTTGGAAGCAGGGAGTGACTTTTGCAATTAAATAAATATATGAACAACATAAATTATAAAACATCGTCTATCCTATATATCATCACCATTTGCTCTAAGCCTTTCTATGGTCATACTTTAATATAAGTAATACAGAGTATATTACACTATTATAGAATAACAAATCAATTCAAATAAAGTTAAATAATTTCATATCAAACAAGATCTGAACAGACTAGACCAAATATAAACATAAAATTTAAGACTTGATCGGACATAAACATAAAATTTAAGACTTGACCAGACCATCAAATTTCAGTTTAAATGAACCGGACCTTAGATGTCATTTATTTCCAACAATATTTCCAACAAGGGGACTAAGGCAGTATGCTGCTTAGGCTATTTTTAGCTGCCAGCGAGCCTAATGAATCTATTCGTTTCTCCATCTTTTACCTATTTCACTTTTGATGGAAAGGAACATATGTTTGACTCGTCATTTGGCACTTTCATCTTTATCTAAAGGGTGATATATAATGTAGTGTTTTACAAAGCTATTCATTTTCTAATAAGTAGAAAGAGTTCAAATTCCAAAAGGTACCAAGGGGGCACTAACCTATAACCCTTTATAAAAAATTACTTGCAAAGAAGAATGTCCAGAGCTCATATAGGCGTCTGAAGCCAGAATCTATTCATATAAAAGATCATCGACCTGTAGATGTGACTTGTGTCTAATTGGTTTATGTTCTTTTGTTTTAGTTTCAAACAAAGGGATCTGGCTGTATGAATTTAAGCCTGGAGTTTCTAGATGTCCCAGCTTGAGGATTGCAGTATTGTAAAATGTAGAAACCTGCAACAACATCTGTAGCTCTTAAGAGTGTTGGCATTATGTTATTACTCGTATTATTTATAGAACCAAAATTATCCATTCCAGTTGGTCTGTTTGAACAAGTTCATGCATAATAGGCAGTCAGAGCTTTCAATAACCCAACTTCAACACTTCTGTTTGTTAATTTTACCTTGTATGATGACTGATGAGCTTTACCCACTAGATCTTTTTATCTAAAAATAATCATGTTAGGATGTTTTCTTTTGGACGGTTTTCAATCCTAGATTAGATCAGACTAGACCAGATCAGACCAGACCAAACTAGATTTCCGTAGTTATAAAATACACAGAGATCAGACGTTTACCAGACCAACAAATTTCAGTCCAAAAGAAAACATCCTTATTTCTGCTTCATATTTTTTTTTTGCACTAACACCTGGTGATCCTGATTTCATCAGACTAATCCTGGGCTCCCAATAACCCACCCCAAATCATCATGCCTAACCCAAGTGTGAAGTTTTCCTTGAAACATGGCATATAATATTAGGATTAATGTCTTTGTTTTCATTATATAATCTGTAGATTATTTTCAACTTATTTTCTTTAACGTGGAACATAGTGAGGTTTATAAAGGTATAATTGTATCTTGAATGTGCCGATGATGTTGTAATGCGTTTTGAACTTAGTAGGTTAGTTTTATTTGTTTTTCTTTTTGGAAATATTGAAGTTCTTGACACTGACCCACCTAGACAGGATTTGTGAATTCTTTCAAGAGTTTGCAAGAGTTGTGAATTCTTCCATGTTGCATTTCAATCTTTTTTTTCCGTGTAGGACGGTTTTCACTACTTGAGTTTCCAAGGGTTGTGAATTCTTTCATGTTGCATTTTAATCTTTGTTTTAATTTTCTGTGTAGGACGGTTCTCACTACATGATTTTCACACCTTCAGATCCACTTCTTTTTGTTGCCGTAAAGGTATGGTATCACATCACATGGTATCTAGTTTCCCTTATTCATCGATACGATCTTTCTTTGACCATTAGAGAAGGCCAATTAGCCAAATGTTAAGTTTAATATAAACTTGTCACTTTCCGATAAATTATATTTATGGAATTTATTCTAGTTTGGGGGTGTTTGGTTAAATTTATTCTAGTTTGTCTAGGTAATAATGATAATGCTTTAATACTACCTTGTTTGGATCATACGTAGTATTATCATATTATGAGGTATCTTGTTATGGTCATATGGTCATTTTTTATGTTTTACTTTTTCCAAGGTAAAAAGTTCTTGTATAGTGTCGATTTGTAATATTACGACCATGCACTGGTGGAAGTTGAAGAAAAAATATTTGATTTTTTAACCCCATGAAAGCCGAGTACAAACTTTACATTGGTGTAGCCATGTAAGGTAATATTATACGTAGTAACCTTCATTAAATAAAAGCCCAAACAAAAGCAGCTTCTAAGGCATTGCACTTTCATGCATATGTGTTTTACAAATTTGCCATCAGAGCAGGGTAGAATGCACAGAGTAAAAATGACAGTCAAAGTTCGATAAATCAGATGACCTGTTCTGAAACTGGTCTGAATCGTATGATATGCACAACTGGCTTCTTTAAATAGAATTATGTTCCCTGGTTGCTTTACAATATGCTGGATAAGGGAGTGAGTGACTGAGTGTTGTTTTTAATGGAACTTTTTACTGCAGGATAAAGATGGTATATTTCAAATTGCAGATGATGTAAGTAATTTATCCAATAGCTCAGCATAAATTGTTATGTGAATGGTGTATGCTATGGTCCTCTGACTCCTCTCCGTTACTATTAGTTCCTTTGAATATGCACACACATTTTTATTTGAATAATAAAACAATGACACATGGTCCATCATTAAAACAGGAACTGCTGGAAGACCCAGCAATTGTACGTACAATTGATGAGGAGACAGAATTCAATGCTTTAGTGGTATGCTTGTTTATGTTATTGAATACTACGTACAACTTGAGGATACATTATTGATTAGATATTTCCAATTTTTTATGGTTGGCTTTTATTTTGCAGGAAGAGGAGATTGCCCTTTTCGAGTCGCTTTTGGGTGAAAGATGACAACACCCAGTATCGTAATATGGTGAGTACCTAGAAACCTTGTAGTGAATTACAAGAATTGTGGATGAATGTGTTGATTGGGCAGAATTATCTAATTTGTATTTATTTTAATATATTTAAAATAACAGTTTTGTCTTACTTTTCTATTATATTACTCCGAAGTTTTTTAATAAGTACTCCGTCCCGCTATGATTGTCCAATTTTACCTTTTCGATCCGTCCCACTAAGATTGTCTCATACCTTATTTTGGTAAAATTTGTGTGGTTGTAAATCAATCTTACTTTATTCTTACTTTATCAATTCAATATCAACAATATAGACTCACTTTTATTAATAATCGTGTCACCTTCTCTTGTCCCAAACTTAGGGAGACGGAGGTAGTACCATTTAGTTAAAGTTATAAATACAGAAATCTAATTTTGGATCTTTTCTTAATATAAAAGAAAACCAGTACCCTACTACAAACTAGTTAAGGTCTGTTTGCAATAGTTTCTACTTAAAAAAAATATTTTTTTTAATGAAATGAGGAAAAGTGATTAAATAAAAGTTGATAGTGTTTGAGAAAAAAATGATTTTGAAAAGTAAAAGTTGGTAGTGTTTGGTAAAATAAGTGCTTTTGTGTAATAGAAAAAGTAAAAACACTTTTGACACGAAAGACGAGAAAAATAAAAGTGGTAGTGTTTGGTAAAGTAAGTGCTTTTTTAAAGCCAAAAGTTGAGAAGTGGTTTATAGCTTTTTCAAACTAACCCTTAGAGTAGTGGTACTTCGCATCCTACACAGGAACTATCCCTGTATACAAGATTACAAGTACACATGAGTGCCCATCTTGAGGATAGACTAGAAGATGGCGATGTATATGGCGGCAACTAGTCTGTGTTGCCGTTAGGTTTTTGTTGATGGTTGATGCACATGCACCTGGCCACTTGTCCTTCCGTCACGTATTACTATTAGGGAAAAGTACAAATATATCCTTTTAGTATGGATGGAGAAACAAATGTATCTCTGTTCTATTTATTAGAATCTATTTATTAGAACAAATATACTCTTTAGCTTTTAAAAAGTGTAAAAATATCCCTCATATTCTTACAAAAGAGCAAATTTATTCTTATTAACTTTAAATAGATAAAATAAATTTCAAAAAACACCCAACATAAATTATAAATTCCAATTTTAAAAATAAATATTTATTATTATGTTAAAATATTAACCCCTTAATTTTAAATTGCAATATTATTATTTTTCGTTGTAAATGGAGCACTTCAAATTCATAAATACTCTGTATTAATTTTTAGTGTGAAATTTTGAACACATTATAACATTTTTTGAAATAACATTATTTGACATTGATTAACCTTAATGAAATTAAATTCACTATTTTGTAATTTTGGATTATTTATCATCATACAAAATATGTAATTTTGTAGTGCAAGGAATGCAAAACATTGCAACACATATGTCAACACTTTTTTGAAAGAACGTTAAATACTTTGTATATAGTAAAGTTTTGAAATAATATTTTATACTAACAATATTAAATGGTGATATACGAACTATAAAAGGGAGAATTGGCCACAAGTACATCTTTAAAAATTACAGTATATTTTTTGATTTTGAATTTATAATTTATTTTTTGTGTTTTTTGAAATTTATTTTATCATTTGAAAGTGAGTAAATTTGCTCTTTTATAAGTAGTGATGGACCAGGCCCGGGTCGGGTACTCGGGTCTAGGCCTGACAGGCTTTTTGGGTTTTGGGGGTAGGTCCGGAACCGGCCCGGTTATCCATCGGGTCCTGGCCGGTTCGGGCCAGGCCAGGCCTCGGGCCAGTTCCTATTTGTTTTTTTACTTTTCTAAGTAACCCCTGACCCCCAAAGGCCCAAACCACCCCAAAACACCCAGCCCGACCCGGGAAAAGAAAATTGAAAAAAAAAACAAAAATAAAAAAGCCCGAACCGAGCCCGGTCCGGCTGGTTCCATATTTGGGTGACTGGAGCCTGCCCCATGTAACCTCCGGGCCAGGCCTACCTGAACCGGGATCTGGCGGGCCACCGGGCCGGTTCCAAACAGTGCCTTAAATTCTAAGGTACAATCAAAATTTTTCTATCATTTTACATTTAATGTTATTTTTAATTTCAAGTAATATGACTTGTATGAATTTATTGTAAAAGAATGCTTGAAATAGTTCTGTATGAATGTAGAATTCTAGACACCAAGGAATGTAAGTAGGAATATAGTACTCTCTCCGTCCCAATTTGTTTTGCAAAGTCAACATTTTTTGGTCAATCAATCATAAAAGTCAACCCTCTCTATGGATAATTAATTCAATTTTTAATAATTAAAATTTACATATTCAAAAACTACATTAAAATCTTTTCAAAGTTGTAAACTCCAAATTAGAAAATTATTAAAAATTGACATCCCAATTAAGTGAACAAAACGAGACTGTTTGACTGAGAAAAGTCAAAGTTGCAACTCTTTTTGGGACGGAGGTAGTACTATGTAATATACTAATATACGTAACCCAACCTCATGCAACCACTCTCCCACCCCCACCCCCACCCATAGGCCTGTCAATGTGTCGAGTCTAGACCCGGACCCAATCTGAATCTGACATTTTATTTGAGGGTATGAGTCTGAATTTAGAACCGTTTCCCGGATCCGGATCCGAACCCGTTAAGTGATAGAAAAAATGGGCCGGATATGAGTTTTTAAGTTCCGGCCCGTTTTAGACCCGATCTGTGATGATATAATTATAGTTATAATTTTTTACATATACACGCACAATATACATAAAAAATATTTAAACATAAAATAAGGAAAATATCAAATATAAAAATGTTTTAACATTTGTAGGCTTAGTTAGTGGTTGGCCCATTATAATGAGATTTTCGCTAATGAGTTATTGCTCTAGGTTCTCTATGAGTTCACTAATATACATATCACATACTTCGTATATTATTGTATACTAGTAGTTCATAAGGAGTAATGCATAGAATAACGTTTTGCTTATTTATATATGATCTCTTTCAACATGAACAATTTTTTGTTATATACTTCGTATTATATTTCTTTGCATGTCATTTAGTTTTTTTTTGCGGGTATACCCAGTGGCGGATCCAGGAAATGGAGCTATTGGGGGCAAAATAAAAATGGCGTGCATGAAAAAAATACAACCAAATATACCTGAATAGTAAAAATTTGTAATAAAGTGCACCCAAGTTTCATAAGTAAATAAAGTATTTCAACATATAAAAATCATAAAAAGTGTAGTTAATTATTGGCGAAATTCATAAGAATAATCCACATTTTTATGGATTCTACAATAATAATTCATATTGAGAGTGTCTATGAAATAATCCGCACTAGCAATAGTTACACAACAATAAATTGGAGTGGATTTAAATTAATGCCTATTTAGTATTCCCAAACCCTATCTCCATTTCCCCTTCACCACTCTTTTTCTCGGTTAACACTTATGTTAAAACCTATAGAAAAGCATCTGTGGCGGAAATAGTGTTGAGATTAAACAATATTAGTTTGAATTTGTCATGAGAAAAAGAATGAGGAAGAGAAAAGTGAGAGTTGGGAATATTAAATGGGCATTAATTTAAATTAACCCCAATTTATTCTTATGAACACTGTTGCTACTTTGAATTATTTTTTGTGGACACCGTGAGTACGAATTATTATTTAGAATACCTAAAAGTAAGAATTATTCTTTTCAATTTTGATCAACTTAATTCTTTGATAACTAATGTACTTTTTCTTCTCTTTATATATCTTAAACCTTCTCCTAGAGTGGTAGACATGTAAAAATTACGCGCCCGTTTGATAACCTTCAAATTGGCCGAATAGACTGTTTTAGCTAAAATTTATGAAGTTCTGGCTGAAGTTACTGTATTAGCTAATTCTGCAGATTTATGAAAAATTATTTTTAAAATATACGAGTATTTTATGAATAAAATGAAAAATAGTAAAAGGGTTGTTTACAATAACTTGAGCCAATCTAGCCAAAAAATAATTTCAACCGTACTTATTTTGATACACAATTGAGCCACGAAATAATAAGTTACGTGTTTAGTAAACAAAATGGCTCATAAGACATAAAACAAAAAATAAAATCACCAAACGGGCTCTATTTCATACAACTTTCTTAATTTGTCTCTTTATACTCTATTTCATACAACTTTCTTAATTTGTCTCTTTATACGAAGTATATATATCTTAAAACCTTCTCCAAGAGTAATAACTATGTAAAATTATACGTGATATTTTATATGGTTTTCTCAATTCTTACATCATAATACTGTTTATAGGTGGTTGCAAATTTTAGATTTTGAATTTTAACAATTTAACACCAAAGTTGTGGGTTCAATTCTCCGTAGCTGCGATTTTGGAGATGTTCCATTGTATGCTTAGGCTATTCATTCTCGTGTATCTTTGTTTTCGTTTAATAAAAAATAGTTATTTGACTTAAAAAAACACAAATAAAACATAACACTTTAACTCATTCAAATAATATAATAATAATCAATACTCAATACTTCATAGTCAAATTACTCAAACACGGAGTAGTTAATTTTCAATAATACACTTCGTTATGTAATTAATTAATACTCAATAATACATTGCTTGTTTCCGTCAAAAAAATATACATTCCTCGTTTACGAAAGCTGAAGTATACGTATTATTTTGCTTTGTAATGGCTGGAGTTGGATGGGGGCATTTACATTTTTCTATTGGGGGCATTTATATATACTTGATTTTTTTTTCTTAATATAATATAGGGGATTATTGGGAGTTAGTTGGGGCAGCTGCCCCCATACTTAGGCTGTAGGTCCGCCCCTAGGTATACCCAGCCCGGATCCGAGATCCGCCAGATCTAAATCTGGAACATATGTTTAGGACACGAAGGGTAAATGGGTCCGGAATTGGACCAAAATAATTTCAACATATATGGATATGGAATTTATAGTTCCAGCCCATATCTGACCCGTTGACAGGCCTACCCACCCCCACCCCTAGTGTAGTTTAGGGTTTAGCGCGGCCGGTAAAGTTCCGACTTCCGAGCTCTTTTCTTTCATATTTTTTTAGGATATCTTTACAGACCAGATAAGTTGGCATCAGACCAACTTTAAATGGACTAGATTTCCAAGCTATAAAATATACCGTGATCATACATTTATCAACCAGCTCAGTTCAGACCAAATTACACTAGATTTAAACAGAATAGATGCGGCCAGATGAACAAATTTTAATACAATTAAAAACATTCTTATAGGCATGTTCGTGTGCACATATGTTTTATAGGCATAGTTAAGCATTGAAATAATTTGAATTTATACATACAACTTATGGTTAAGTATATATTGGGTACAGCAACAACAAAAACAGGTTCAACAAACAATTAGATTGATAATTTTATAATATAATTAGTCTCATTAAATCATCTAGACTAGATTTATGATACACCTTGTTCATCTAAATGTACAATATTCAGTCTTCGGGAGAATACTCCGCTCATTTCATTGAACTTTATCGACGCCTGTTATTTAATTGATCCATAAACTTTACTCTGATATTTAAAGTATTTAATTTATGATTCTAATAATTTGTTTCACCTCCGTACATAATTCAATCACACGATATTTTTATAAACTCCGTATTTGAAAGTAATACGATAGTATCAGTTTTTAAATTATACTAGGTATAGTACGCCGTACACAGTTTAATCTCACCTTGTGACGATAACATTCCATTACATTGAGTAAAAACTTTACTAATTATCAAAACTCAGGATTTGTGATACTGGATTAGCAAGTGGACACAACATTTTTTAATTGTTACACCATAATGAAAAAGGAGGGAGAATATGAATATACCATTATGTTACGCTGAATTGTGTACCCACACACTAGATGAGACAAATCAAATTTGTATAGCACAAAAATCTCATTTTGTTTGCTTGGAGCTTTCTTGCGTGGATTTTTCTGAATGACAGATCTCACCAATCCAATAGGTGACATCGCCCACCCTAAGTGCTTTCACATAGATCTTAGAATGATGGAGTAAATCATAGTATGATCTTAGAATGATGGAGTAAATCATAGTATGATCTTAAGCGGTTCTAAAAGAGGCGT